GATCTGTTTCTGAACTTTGTGAGACTGGCCTTTCCTTATGTAACAGAGCTATTTTTCTTGCACTCAGAATGATGTATTATGTATAGTATGGATGTTTATTTGTATTTTCACCTCCAGCTAACTATACCTGCTTGAATTTGTTAGGACTATTTTTAAAAAGTGCTGAAGGGAGGAAAATTGGGGAGGGCACTGAATGGCTAGGTATGCTGCTGAATATTTTAAATCTAAAAGTTCTCTCTAATGCAGCTTTTCTGGTCTTGACTTTTCTTGCTCTGAAGCAGTCAGTCAGAGCCAACTGGGGACCCCACACGTTCTCAGACTCCAGTCAATAGTGCCCTCAGCACTGATGTGTTTTACTCCATTTCAGGATCTGACCCTACTTTTCTGGCATCATCAATGTCCATCAGCCTTTCTCCTTGCTTCCCTAGCTCCCAGTTGTTTTATCCAGCTTGCCTCACTGCAGGGTTACTTAAAAGATGATAATCTTAGGCGTAAATTTAAGAAAACCAACAGATTTGTGCAGAATTGCTGGACTTTGCTGTAGGGAATGTTTTCATTTTGGCAGTGAAAGATGGTGGTTTTATACAGCACTGTCCTCCTTGAAAAGAAGGTGATGACTCGGTGTGTGGGGTTTATGTCTTGGACCTTCCAGCTGAATGGTGATCAGAAGTTGTATTTACATGTAAATTAAAGTCTGTCCTCTGTGAACCTTCCAGTTGCTTCTGCCTTTGGACTTCTCATCTATTTGTCATTTGTGTGCACTGTGAGCACAGTGGGAGCGAGATACATGTTTACTGTCACAATGCTGCTTTTAAATTGGGCTGTGTAAATTGGCTAGAGATGCTTGCTCTTGTTTTGGGAGTCTCCAGACATGGTGGATGGTGGCATTCTTATGTGACTTGTGCATTTTGGTTTTTCAGGCAACAGCATGGGGTTCAGATGAAGACACCAGGAGGTCCTGTCAAAGTAAAGGGAAAACAGAGGTAAATTTTTCAATGGTATAATGATGTTATGGGTAAATATATTTGCAACATGTGAAATCCACACAGGGAGCATCTGACACCAGCCTGAGCCTGTAAATTTGCAGCAGTTTAGCTCTGCCACCGCATGTGTATAAGCACCATCAAGCGAGCCATTTCAAAGGCCCCCTGTCCAAGTTATTACACTTGCTCTGCAGGAAATTTAAAGGTTATTTCACTGCTGGAGAGGACACTATTTGTGACACATCAAGGAACAGAGTGGTGGCAAGCCAGGGGTAGCATCTTGCAGTGGGGTCTGAGACCAGGCAGGTTGCCGTAGTCTGGGTGCTCAGCAGCGAGCCCCTGGAATTCAGCCAGGTGGGCTTCAATGCATGTTTGCAGTTAGAGTTCTTTATACAGTTCACCTGAGAACTGAATCTGCTCACACATTGCAGTCTGTTCAGGTGGAATATCACAAAACTGCTTTGGAGGCAGGTGAAGTCTGCTAGGCTGCAGTTTGAAGTAAGAGTTGCTTGAACAAACACGTGCTGTCCCAGAAGTTTGGAGTTTGCAGACATTTCTGATCCAACCACAGGGCCCTTCTACCCCTCTTCTGAGAAGCTAAAACAAAGCCATCTATCTAAAAGCAGGAAATATTTTGATTTTTCAAATGTGATGTTCGTTCTCTTAAAAAATCTTCAGGTCTCAAAGGTGACACCTGCGAGGGTGTCCTGTTGTCCTTAATGCTGCACTGCAAAGAGATCTCAGTCCAAACCGAAGGAGCTGGACAAAGAATAAGACAGGATAAGCACAGTCTTTGTTTAAACATGAACAGTCAGGCAGAGAGTGATTGCGTGGCTGACCCAGAATGCTGGAATCTGCCAAGTTACAGTTCGCTGCTTTAAACACAAGATTATCTGGGTTTCCATTGACTATATACATTTTATATAATACACTTTATGTGATTACTGTATTAACTTGTATATACACAAAAAAAAGCTTGAATTTTGCCAGATAGGCAACAATTTGCTTCATGTAACTGTGGAGACCAAGAGTATGGGTATCCTAGAACATCTCTTACAGTTTCATGTAGAATCTACTTTGTGCAGTAAAACATCCTGGAGGCAAAATGGGTTGGGTTAGGTGAACACCAAACATGGCCAGCCACAAGAAGAAGAAGTAGGACAAAATTATCAAACTCTAGAACCCAAGACATGAGGAATTTTTGAGTTTATGGCCTTTGTACTTTAAATGTGCAAAGAAATTATTTTCCTCTTTTCTTCCATTATAAAGTCTGCGAGATTTAAGTTGTATCATATTGTTCATGAAGAATTTGAATTTATAACCCAGAATTATTTTGTCAACCCCTGGATAAAGCCATTCATTTGACTGAACAAATTCTAGGATAATTTCAATTTATCTTTGTTACTGTCTAGCCAAAAGAAAGCAATGGTCTGAATATCTTCACTGCTGCCTCCTTGCACTGCAAAGGGTTTGCCAAAAATTTCAGAAGGATGATGCTCTGAACAGCTGAGTTTATGCTGATTTAGATACAGAGCTTGAAATTGTTTGCAGGGTGCAGTGACTATAGGTGAAGTTCTGAGGAACAGTAATTAAGCAGACTGTTAGACACTTCTTGGTATACAATTAGTGGCAGAGTTGTTGACTAAGAATCTGACAAGAAGGCAGGAAGCTACAGGAGGCCTACAAAGGCAGAAGGATTCTGCAGCAGCTAAGCAACACAGATCTCTCAGGTCTGCATGTACTCTAACCTGTGTGTCCACAACTGATCCCTCTTGGGGCAACTCTACACTTCCATTGTTTGTTACACTGCAGAGAAGTGACTCAGCAGTAGCTCAAAAATACCGAGTTTAGTCTAGGCAGCTGGTGAAGTGCTCTGCTCCAGCTAAGTCCAGCTCTGACGCAGCATCTCTGCCCTTGTCTGGGTAAATGCAGCAGAAACATGAACATTTCTGATTCTGCTGTGCACTGGTGGTACAAGATGCAGAGCTGTCTACCTCAGCACTGCTTTGTCAAAACTTGACTAATGGCATCTTTCTACCTAGCACAGATGATTTCATGATAAATACGTTATGGACTGTCAGGCACTTAGATATGTGGCGATAGAAGCTAAAAATAAGGAGGACCTTTCGCTCTTAAGTTATTTCACAGTGTAGTTTTCAAAAGTTATATCACTGGTCCATTTTCCTTGCCCTTTAAATAAGGTATGTATTTTAGGGTGAGGCTTTCAAAACCACCAGGTGTATTAAAATGCCTTTTTTTCCTCTTCATTCTTGTGCCTGTTGAGTACCTAAATCAGATTCTTCCCGCTTCTTAGAAAATCTCTTCCTAAAATGCTTAGAGCTGTAACATAAGAAAAATAAGCAGTGCAAGATTAAAAGCCACAACATTCATATTACAGAAGTGTAATTATTATGGCATGATGGATACTCCACATTTCAGTACCTATTCTCTGGAGAAAAGGCAGATGAAAAATCTGGGTCCCAGATTTAAGGTTAGAAGCTACCATTTCTTCTGGCACCTTGTATAGCTCTGACCACAGACTTCACCTGCTTATTCCTAAACTGAGCTCAGTAACTTGTCTTTGGCTGCTGCAGCTTTTTGAAGAAAGCAGAAAGTTTTGCACTGAAGACGTGAAGCAAATGGGCTGACTGTGCTTTGCTGGATTGTTCTAATGGCAGATCACCTTCCCTCTTAACAACATGTAGTTTAATTTTTCTTTGTATCTGATTTCACTTTTGAGTGTCAGTGTCTCATTTTGCCCTTCTCTGCTAGATTAAAGAGCCCTTTAGTTACCAACATTTATTTTTTACAGAGGCACTTATACGCTCTTGTCAATTCAGTACTTAGGCCTTTTGATAAAGTAAAAATATGATTTCTACAAGCCTCTTTCACGAAGTCCTTTTTCTACTGCCCTTGAATATTTTTTGTCTGTTTTTTTTTTTTCACCTATATTCTCTTATCAAACTCTCTAATACCTGAGTGTGATTAAAACAGCCTCCCACCTTCCTCTGTTCATATACATGGCAGTTTTGTAAGCTCTTCTGCCATAGGAGATCATGCAGAATGCCTGGCCACTGTGACCACTAAATCCTTTTCACAGTTACTTCTCCTGGGATGTAATCTCCATGCTTATACATAAAGCCCTTTTGTTCCTTTTTCTTTCATGCATAATATCTTACAAAAATGTATTTTGTTTGTTGGATCCAGCTCACCAACCATCCTGGCATATATCACTAAATATAGAGAGAGGCATTGGCTTCACTGGTAATTACTAAGTTTGTAATCCACAAATGTTATTTAAGAAAAATAATGTAAAAGTTAATACTGGGCTGGTACCACCCCAGCTGGGGCTCTGCTAGAACAGCAAGTTTATGAGTGATTTCACTTTAAGGACTGTTTTCATCCCAGCAATTTATCAGATTTTAATCCCTTAATGTATAAGTTCCTGAGACCGATTTTAAAATTAACTCTCTGCAATATATTGTGCATTATTAAAACAAACACCTTGGAAAGGCCTCTTTCATTTATGTTATTTTTATCAACTAAAACTTGTGGTTTCCTCAGAGAAGTGTATATTGTTTACTTGCCATGTCTCTGGAGACCCATGCTGGCTTCCACAAGTAATCATTCTTATTGTTGCAGCATTAATGAAATGTATCATGATCAGCACCTTTAAATTATCCCCTGGAAAACATCCACATTACTGAGAGACAGTGGAGAGAACAAAGTCAGTGTTATGCTGCCTTGTTTTTGTGTCTTCCAAATGAACTCATCCAGAGCTTGTAGTTAAAATGAGTGATGGATAGAGCAGAAGGGAAAGAAGTTTATTTAATTTCATTAGGAGTTGCTCAGCTCCTAGTTTGTAATTGGTTTGTCTCTGCATAACAGTCCACATCCACCACATCTAAGGAGTTTTTCCTGACATGGAAAGTTGTGGCTTTTTAAACATGAGAACCTTGGTCTTTCTTTTGTTTAAGCACCAAATTATTTGTAAACTTTCCAAAAGCAGCACAACATCATTTTAAAATGTGAAAAGAAACCACTTGTGAAAATGACAGTGAAAAATTGCATCTCTTAGGTGCTCCCTGAAGAGCTTTGTGTAGCCAGGAGGAAGATGATGCACTAATAACATTTCTGGAGCAAGAAAGAAATAAGAGAAATAGGCATCCAGCTAGCACTCGTCCCACTGTGTTTCCTCTATGATGTCCTGATGCTTTGGGGTCTTATGATTCTCACAAGGTTACAGGAAAATCCTAGCCCAAGGCTTCAGCCCAGCTAAATGGGATTGGTGCAGAACTTGCTGAGCTAATGGAGGAATCAGCTGTTTCAGGCATTCAGGTGGCTCTGTGTCACACAGAGGATGTGCTCTCTGCTTATCTGGTGAAACTGGGAGACTCTGCACCACTTAAGAATAATAGGTGTCCAAGTAGGACAGGCACCATATAAATCCCCAGGCAAACAGAAATAACTGGGAGGCTGTCAGCTATTTTTTCCCCCTTTGTAACTGCTCCTAAAGACATGAACCAACGTTCCTATTACTTCTGCTAAGCTATCAATATAGAATCAGCCCCTAAGTTTGATTAAAGTCCATTAAAGAAAACTTGGCTGGAAAAATCATTAGCAATTCTCTTTGCTTTCTATTGCACTCAAAGGAGAAAGACAGTTTGGTTGGGGCCTTGGCTTAAACTGAGTAACAGAATTGCTTGTCCAAGGAAGTGAATATAGATACCTGAAAGTGTATTAGTAGCAGTGCTCGAGAGCAAGTTAGGTCTTGATTGTTTTTTAATGAATCGGGATAAACTGCAATAGATAAATTAAATGTTTGCTGCATTCTGAAGTGGCATTGCAGGGGAACTTGGAGTTCTGCTGGTTGATTCTCTGAACTCCAGTTTTTACTCCAGGAGTTTGCGTTTCTCTGAGGATGGCAGACCATCTGCAACAGCTATTTGTCTCATGCAGTGTGTAACTGTGGTTTTAATCTATGATTAAAATATATCAGTATGTGAAGGAATAGGGTTAGCCTAAAAAATAATTGAAAAAGAAATCTCTGACAACAGGGCTTGAATGGTTTATTCAACCTAAAACTTTAGGTAGTGCCTATACATGGCTATGCTTTCAAAGAAAACTGCATCTATACAATGAGATTAAGGGCTTATAATCTTTTAGAACTCTGGTGCTGAGAGGACAGAAGAAATGACTAAGAAGCATCTGCAGCTGGATTGTTTGCAGCGTCCTGAAATTGTCTTTTTGAATTTTACCTCAAACAGAAGCTGCACTAGGTCAGCCCCTCCATGTGCTGATCTGTCCACATGAATGAAGGCAGCAACAGGGCACCGCTCCTGCTTCTCGGGTTTGAAATGTGCTCTCAGAGCAGCCTGACATCTCTGTGAGCTAGAAAGAGACCTGGTTCTGTCCACAGTCGTGGACATAGAGCATTCACAGACAGTGACTGAACAGTAACCTTAAATGTTACAAAAAATAAAATAAATGAGGATAGGCTTAAACTGAGGGGGGGGGGGGGGGGGAGGGGCTTCAGGAAAGTTTGTTCTGACTGTGAGATCCTGTGCTTTGTTGTGTTGAGCCTCAGAAGTTGTGTACTGTTCCTTTCTAGGAAAACAAGGGTCATTAGACTGGAAAAAAAGTGATACTTTCTAAATTTAAGGCCTTATCTCAAAGAAGGTAATTTTGAGGAAGGAAAAAACCTCAAAGTGGGTAACATGCAAGTCATAGGAAAATCAGAGATAGGCTTAATTCCCTGGCAGTGAGCCACAGGTTTTTATCAGCTCTGCCATATATTTAATAATAATCCCAACTAATATAACTGAGTTATTCTTATTAACCATATAAATATGCAGTCTTCCCCCTTTATTTAAATCCTTAATCTCTTGATCCCAGTAATATCTTCTGGTGATGAGATTTGCAGACTGATCATACATAGCTTTAACAGTCTGCTCCATAATGTGAGAGCAGGATCCAAATATTGTCTTGTCTGGACAGAGGTGGGTTCAAACTTGCCAAATTTTCTGGTTATATTAAAGCCCATCTGACTTTTGCCTCCTGGATGCCTGGAGTTTTCCAGCCACATGGAAGAAACTGCATTAAATAGCTCCTGTTTTCTGTAGGGGTTTGTGAGATCATTTTACTAACTGGTTGCCTCAGCTATGAATTGTTGCAGAGAGCAGCGTATTGAATGACTTTTCAAAGCAAATCCAGGCTGGTTTAAGGAACACAGAGAGAAGACTGTTCCTTGCTATTTATTTGGAGAATGGGCTAGAAAGAGGATCTAATGTAAATCTCCCAGACAGTATCTTGAGAAAAATCCCACAAGTTGGAGCTTTTAAGTGGTTTGGTTTCTTCTTTGCTTTTGTTGGAGGCTTTCACAGGCTGACATGACTGGCAATGGATACAGCAATAAGAAACATGAAATGAGCACCATATTCCTCTTTGGGCCAGGCAGGTTAGAGAGATGTGGTCTGGTAATTAGACCTCTGTGGCTGCCCTTCAGGAGCTCCTCTAACTCAGCATGTCACCACAGCAAGTTTACACCTGCATTGTTTTGGTTGAGAGATCAGGGCACATAATATACATCTCTTTACTTTAAGTGTATAAATAGCTTTGAGAATGGTGTATGAAATGTGCATATTATCACTGCTCTTCCTCCAGAAGAATGGAGCGCTGCTATGATCATCAGTAAGACAGGTCCAGAGAAAATGCCTATTAGTTAATTCACTGGAACAACTACACGGTCCACACCTAGTAGCATCATTTTTCAGCAGAGCAGAGAACATCCACTAGTCACCCCAGTTTTTGCCTTTGACAGCTAATGAAAACCAGCTAGTGGGTTTGTTGCATCCAGTTCCCTGAAAAGTACCAGCTGTCCAATGTTTCCAGTCTGACACCTCACCCATACTGACTGTGCTCTTTTGCTCTTTGCTGCCGCAGTTGGGAATGGGCTGGAAGTCACAGATTGAAGTATCCTGGAGCAGATTCAGACAGCAGCAGATATATTTTGCCCAATGTGGTTTCTTCCTCTATTTCAGTAAATGACTTCTGCTTTGGACAGAATGGGTGCAAACAAAGCCGTGCATAGTTAGGCTAAAATAACACAAGATTATTCCGACTTCCAGCATCCTCACTGGGCCAGGCTACCATGCCTGGAGTAAAAGTGTGCAACAGATACATCACTGTCAGTAGACTGCAGCACATGATCTTCCAGAGAAATTCTTTTTGTATGCTATCTTCTCAGCTGGGAAGCTTTTTATAGAAACTGAAGTTTGTTAATCTGTAATACAGTTCTGTGCAAGTAAGAGAATTCTCCAAATTAGGATTTTAGATTTCCGCAGGACAGGGCTTTAATTAGGAATACACTGTAATAGCTAGGCAGGAAAGGGTCCACCAACATAAATGGTTTTAGCTGGTTTAGGTCAGAAGCTTTGCTCAGACCCTGCACAAAGCAGGGGAGAGTGCAGGTGAAGGGGAAGCAGATGGGTACTCTCTTACTGTGTGAAATTTGAGTACAGAGCTGCATTCTGGGTTAGATGCCAAATCAGTCATATTCTGAAAACAAAACTCTGTTGGGAGAGTACGTAATATTTTTTGTAATAACATTCACTCAAGAGCTTCTAGTATTTTGCATTTAAATATATAGTGGTCCTAATATTATGTGGGATTGAATAACTGTGGTCTACAGAAAGAGGAATCACTTGAAGCAGTTATGAGATACAGACATCACCTACAGGCAGGGAGTAAATGGCAGGGCTCCCAGCACCATGCAGCAATGACAGGAGAGGGCAGAGAGGCTGGCAAGCCCTTCGTCTGTTAAAGGAAGCAATGAGACCTCTATTCTCTATACACAGCAGGTTGGACAATGCTTCTCAAAGTCCTGCTTGATAAACTGATGCACAGTCACCATGACTGATGTGCTTCTGAAATAGGAAGTGCTGAGTCGACCCAGCTATGAGTCTAAGCTCTCGTTTTTGGGTGACAAGCCCGATCCCCTGATGCCCCTGCTGAGCCTCAAGCCTTGCAGGATCTGCTCTGTGGCACTCTGTAGCTTCTGCCTGGGCTGGGTGAGTGCTCCTGGGCTGGCTCTGGAGTGCAGTCCCTGTGATCTGCTCCATTCAAAAGCAAGCCCCACGTGTCATGCCCATGCAGTCACTTGTCTGTGGCTAATACTGGTGGATGTGCATTGAATCCTTCAACAAGTTGATTTCCATACAGCAAATGAAAGAAGATAGCACATAATACAGCTAAGCAAACTCCTTCCTTTCCAGAGGATGTTTTTACACTGCTGAAACTTGCAAATGAACTCTTCAGGGAAATGATCAGCAGCGTGGAGCCCTTGTGAGACAGGGAAGCTCGCAGAGTGAATGCTGCTTACAGAAGGAGAAGTGGTGTCTGCAGCTGTAGGCTCAGCTTAGTGGCAAATGATGATCTGTTGGAGGGAGAAAAGCAAAGGAGCCAGGATAACCCAGCTGAGTTTGTTACTTTTTAACAAGTTTCCTTTTCTGTTTATGGTACAGCATAATAGACTTTCTTCACTTGGAGCCTAGTGAGTGCCATCATTAGCTTATATCCTTATATCCTTTCTTCTGAGATGGCCCCAGAGGCCAGGCAGGCAGGCTGTGCCAGGCTCACTGCACATCTCTTGTCAGGGCTGTTTGCATGAACCTTGGGGCAGGTGGCTCTCGACCCTCTTGCACTGCCTGTGGGAGTTGCACACTAGTCTCACACCTCCCTTTCCCTCTGTGTACTGGTAGAAGGTTCCTGCCTTATATGACCTCTTTCTCCCCTGGTGCTAAACTCCAGGAGATGCTTGGTTAGCCTGATCTGCAGTCCACAGTCTCTGGATGTGAGGCTATGGGGAGGAAAAGAGACTATGGTTCTTTCTAACAACATAAAGGTGATTTTCTGAAAAAAATGCCAACTGCAGCCTTGTGCTGCCCACCCCCCCCCACCCCCACCCCAGCATGGGACCACAGGAGCCCTGCACCTTTGGGGACTGGCATGTGGAGGGAGCTGCTCATTTGTACCAGCAAGCGGTCATGCAACTGAGAAGAAAGAATTTGCTATTTCTCACTGGCCTGGCCTTAAAGAGAAACTCCCTCTGCCATGGAAAATCCTAAGCACTCAATCCTCAGGGAGGCAGGAAATCGCAGCCTGTTCAAGCATGAGATTCTTCTGACCAGCCTGGTCTATTAAAGAGAAGTTCCTGCTGTTTTTCTGCTGGCATTGGTTTGAATTATAGTGCAGACAGACCTGCTGTCCTTCACTGCAGTCTGTGTCTGGGTAATGTTTTCAAAGCTGCATTACTGGGAAAATGGGTCAGAAGTATCATGGAAAGAGGGAGAATTTCTCTTGCAATCTAAGCAGAGCACAGAAAGAGTCATTTGTGTAGTTATGAGACTCAGAGTCAACCTGATGGATAGCATCCTATCCAGGGACTGTGCAGGGCTATGGTTAGAGAAATAACCAGCAAATTGGTCCTGCTCACTTAGACCACTAGCTCCCTACAGCTGGGCACTGCTTGATGCAACAAACCTCAGCCCAAGTGAGAGCTGAGGAAGGTGTATTCCAGCTGCAACACAGGTATTTTTATAATGTAATAAAATTTTCAAAATCCTTTGTCTCTGTCTTGTGTCCCTATAGGAAGAGTGCCAGAACTATGTCCGAGTGCTGATTGTTTATGGCAAGAAGGTTTTTACCTGTGGTACCAACGCCTTTTCACCAGTGTGTTCCAGTCGACAGGTCTGTTTTGCCTCTTTTACAATGATGGAGAGGGCTGGATACATGCTCTGGGGAAGTCCAGTCATTTGGCAGGGCATCATGGCTACAGAGAATATGTTCTAAATGTAGCTGACCTGAAATTATTTTGTTTTCGTTCTTTGAGTCCCCTTGGGCTGCTGTGGGGCAATGAGTGTATTTGCAGTTGGGGAACTAAAAGCTTGTTTTGTGGGTAAGTTAGATCTGGGCAAAATGTTGCTCATGTAAACCTTGGGTATGGTGCTGAAAATGGGGAATATAGGCAAGCTTAGCTATGACTACCTCCTGGGCTGAATACTTAAAAGTTCCTTTAAAATAAAGACAAAACTCCCTTTGGCTTCAAGAGAGGCAGGAGCAGGCCCAGGGCAATGTTTATTTTTATGTTTTTTAATGCCAGTGTGTATTCAGGGGGTGTCTATGGAAGATTAGAAACCTGTGCTAGCACCAGGAGCACCTGATTACACCGAGCACGCTGGGGCTTTATTGGCAGGGGATTTACCCTTTGTACAAAGCAATAGAATCAGTGAGGCTGAGACACAACTTCTTATATTGGCAAATGATGGATGTAAAGATCAATTTACAGTCATCACTGACATTATATTCTCACAGCTACATGTTTTTTTAAAATCAAGGTTCTGTTTGTAGGTACTCATGGGCAAACTGAATTCTCTATATCAGTAAGAAAGCCAGATATTATTTAAGTTCTCTTTTCTTTTAAATACAGGTAGGAAATCTCAGCAAAATCATTGACAGAATTAATGGAGTGGCTCGGTGCCCATATGACCCTCGGCATAACTCGACAGCTGTGATTACATCACGAGGAGAACTCTATGCTGCAACTGTGATTGATTTTTCTGGACGGGATCCTGCTATTTACCGCAGCCTTGGAAATGTTCCCCCACTTAGGACAGCACAATACAACTCCAAATGGCTCAATGGTAAAGTCATGTGGGTCACATCTGAGCAAAAGATGTATTAAAGTCAGCTTGACAGGCTTGTAAATCTTTCCCTCTCTTCATATTGAGATCCAGAGGTATGATGGGGAAGGGCTTCCGGTGCAATAATCAATGCAGCTTGGAAGACATTTAAAAAGAGGCTGAAAGTATTTCAGAGAAGTTGATTTAGAATACAGAAAGCAGGTCTTACAGGTTACTTAACATATATATGGGTCTCTGTCTTGTGAGATGACCACATATATCATTTTAACATGAAAACCACTCGAAGATTTGAAGATCAAAACCAACTTTTTAAGCGTCGTATTCTTGACCCAGTTCTGCAGAATGATGAGCATTCTCTACTTCCACTGACTCAGCTGAACATGGTTGGTTTCAGTGCAAGATCAGTCCAAAAATGAGAAATTTCACAGCACATTATGTTCCATGTGAATTCATGCTGATGTGGATTTATAGTTATTAAAAGCAGCTCCTACCCCAGTGTGATAATACCCTGCATCAAGCAAGCTATAGAATTTCAACCAGTAATCCCTGCACTGAGTCCACACAGTTCTGACTGGGGCAAAGCACTTCTTGTCTAGCAGACTGTAGTGATGGAGATCCAAATATTCCCCCTCTCTTCTTTTACCCAGGTAAATTGACAAGATATTCAGAATCTTTCTATTAGATTTCAGGACCTTTCAATTAAAGGTAAGAGCAGTGGGACTGTGCACTCTCTGGAGCTTAAAGAGACTGAACTAAGACTTCTGCAGGCATCCTGAAGCCAGTATGGAGATCCGGAATTTTAGGAAAAGAATGTCATCAGGCAAGACTGTGAATTAGGACCAAGAAGCATCATAGCTGATATACACTTATTAGAAATAGGTTCCTCTTGCCTGCACATGAATGCAAGATTCAGAAGGAATCCACATTGTAAGAGTTTAAGCAAGACAAACGGTAACTGAGGTTCTAGTATGTGACTGGAAAAACTAATGTGTCTCTTGGATTTATAACCTGGTGCAGCAGTGGTGACATTGGAGTAATTTCATCCTGTTCTGGCCACTTTTCAACAAGAAATAGAAAACTTGAAGGTGATTCAGAGAAGAGCCTTGCAGTGATTTGATGCTTGGAAAGCCCTGCCTCACAGTGAGAGACTTAAGGAGCTCAATTTATTTATCTTTCTGAAAAGGAGATAAAAGGTGTTTTGTTCATGATATGGAAGTACTTACATCAAGAGAAGATTTCGGACAGGATAAAGTTCTTTAATCTAGCAGACAAGTCATGACAAGAACCTGTGATTGGAAGCTGAAACCAGATAATGTCAAATGGGAAAAGAAGTGCAGGTTGCAGCTGGGTCAGTCTTTAGTCATTTGAACAAGTCACTGAGGAAAGTGATGGATGTAACACCATGTGACATTGTCCAGTAAGATCAGATCTCCTTCAAAAGATGTGATCTAATTCACCTGTTAGTTACAGGATCCGATGGTGGAATTACAGGGTGAAAATCTCTTGTTCATGTTGGACTTGCTGATCACAACAGTCACTGTAAGGTTCATGGTTTATTTGAAGAAGAAAGTTTGATGAGAGGTGCTTTGCAGTGCCCTTCCTTCTGTACCACCATCTACCTCCCAAACCTGCCTTGCAGCAGCAGCAGCCTGCCTCTCCCTCAGCCACAACTCTGTTCTTTCACTCCTGGGCTGCAGCATTAAAGGAATCTTGTACTTCCCTTTTTATTTCTTCCTTTGAGCATTACTCAGAAATGAACACTGTAAAATCACCCTATAAAACCAACATGATTTTTTTCTCTGTTTGGTCAAATATTATTCACTGGCTAACCTTTTCCCTTTGCCAAAGAAACCGTTAGGATAAAAGACTATACACTTTAAAGCCTTGATAAATACCCAATTAAAATATTCCCTACTAGACCAATTCCAGGTTATTTTCAATTCTTGTGAAAATAATAACAATAATTCTAGGAAAAAATGCATTAAGGAGAGCTTGTTTCACTGCTGCCAGTCTGTGGCTTGGTTTTGTTTTATGGGCAGAAGATAATCTTTTGTGCCTAGAAACTGGAAAGGCTTCATGATAAAACCCAGATGTGACTGTGCTGGGAGAGAAGGTTGAAGGTTTCAGTGCAGCAGCCTGGGGAATCGGGCGGATGCACGCAGCATATTTAACACATCATAAGGTGCACTTCAGAAGTGAATAGGTGAAGGAGCCCAATGGGAAGGCTTTATGTTGTAAAATGAGTATAGGCACAGAGAATAGTCATGCATATGCAAAGTGTTGAACTCTACTTTCTCTGAAATCAGTAGTAGCTTTGCCAATAAAGTGGGGAAACAATGGGGTCTTTCCAAGATCTGAAAAAAGGTATGAGAGTTATATCCCCATATATCACTATTATTATCTACTTATTTTATGTCCTCTGCTAACTCCAACTCCTTGTGGTCCCAGCTTTGACAGCCTGCATAAGGGGAGCTGGCAGCACAATGCAGTGAGCAAGTCAGTGAGCATGGATTGATTTCTAACCTGTATAAATCTCTTCAAATGTTTGTTTTTCAGAGCCTAACTTTATTGCTGCCTATGACATCGGTTTGTTCACCTACTTTTTCTTCCGTGAGAACGCAGTGGAACATGACTGTGGGAAAACAGTGTATTCTCGTGTGGCAAGGGTTTGCAAAAATGATATTGGAGGAAGATTTTTGCTGGAGGACACATGGACAACCTTCATGAAGGCCAGACTGAACTGCTCCCGTGCTGGAGAAATCCCTTTCTATTACAATGAATTGCAAAGCACCTTCTACCTTCCTGAGCAAGATCTGATCTATGGTGTCTTCACGACTAATGTGTAAGTTGTACTGGTTTTACTGCCCTTCTTCTATACCCAGCACTCTGAGGCTGACAATATATTGATTTCTTGGACAGCCTGAGCAATCATTTTTAAAAGATCCTTTGGTTAACGTGAAGGGATAGGTCTGTGATATCCATCACAGCAGCATAGCCTTCAGGACTATGTTTTTAATCCATGGTTCATAGATTCCTGGAGTCCATAAAAGGTGACTGTGCAGTTTTAGGGTAACTTAATTTGATATAAACCTGGGCAGAGAACAGACTTCTGACTTTTCGTAATGACAGTACAACTTGTGTAGTTCAGAGGGATGATCTGAAAATGACCCAGCAGAAAAGCATAAGTGATTTCCATCCAGGCTAACTGCCTGGACAGTCTGACACAACTGTGTGAATACTGGAGTTGGCCCATGAGATGGACAGGTACATACGCTTGGGAGAGAAGGACTGGAAGGAGAAGAATGAGGCAGATAGGATCACAACAGCCTAGGCTGAAATCAGCATATATTGCTACTGAACAACAATGTAATAACAAGGTCATGCAGGCCATAAGGCATTTGACATTTCCAAGGGGTGCTTTACCTCTGCTACAGACTGTTTCAGGTCCACAAATCAAAAGCAGCATTGGAACTCTGAGAGGAAAGCATGATTTCTGATACTTCATAATCACCTCTTCTTGGCTTGATATTAAAAAAACTTGTAATTGGAATGATTTAGTGTAGCTATGAAAGCAGAGAGAAAGAGATGAGTTAATTAAAAAATATATTAAAAAACTCATAATGTATATTTTTAAGTCAGGAAAACTCAAATAACTTTTTCACTGACGCTCAAGGCTAGGATGAAAAGTTTCAAGCTATAACCAGTCTGCCTGGTATTGAGTTTCAATAATACATGTTCTCCAGGGGTGTATTAGCCTGATGTGTAAACTAGAGAATGAAAATCTGAGTGGTTACTCCCCACAGCAAATGCTCCAAGTGCCTTCCTCATGGTGGGTAGCCAACTTCTATGGGGTTTTTGTGTGCAATGAGGTACTGTCCAATGTGAATAAGGGCCTGTTCCCAAGAAGCCCACAGTAAACCAAAGAAGTGAAACCCTGCTGAAGCACGAGCCTTCCTATTTTAATGTGTCACCTGCTGGGGTGACAGGGCTTGAACTTCAGCCCTTGAAGTCACAAAGCATCAGCCCCAACTTCTTGAGCTAAAGCAGTGTTGGGAGTTTCATTGTGAGTCAACAGAGCCCGAATGAACATAAGTGAGCACTGCACCTAGACTGTGGACACTGGGGAAGATCTGTTCTCCAACTGAAAGACACATGAGTCATTCTCTAAAAACTTTTAGAGGGCATAAACATTGAAAGGAAGCCTGACTACTGCTTTAGACACTTGAGCTGATCTTTATTTTTTTTTTTTTTGCAATTTAAGAGGACTTCTGTGATAATGTTTTATCTATCCATTTGTTCATTCATCCAGCCAAGAACAAAAGTTGGAAATGAGAAAATTACTAATAACTGTATTTTATTTATCAAATTGATGAAGTTTTTGGACTAGAAGGGGGAAGACATAGACTAGCTGTGGTTGAAACAGTTCACTTCTGCTGTGTCTGTCCCCTAGGTTTAACATGAGATGTGATGAGTGTTATCTGTCTCCTTTGAGTACACTTAAGTCACTCTTCATGCACGAGGGATGTACCTCTCATACACGAAGGATGAACCCTCTCTTGTATCTTTTATCTTCTGGACACAATATCAGATGCAACATTTGTGTAATTGAAGAAATTAGTTATTGATAATAGCTAAAGTTAGATCAAATAGCATTTCAGGTCTACAACATGGTGTTCTTTTGAGAGTTCAAACAGAAAATATTCCAATTTGTCATCCAACTAGAGAAATAATGGTAATTATTCTTTTAACTTCCACTGGGACTTAGATCATGCTGCATGAGCTCTGCATACCAAAGAGTGTTAATGTATGCACCAGTCTTTCTTTACAATAAAATACCAATGCATCACAAAACTATGTTAATTTTTGTTTGCAGGTATTTTTTATTTTGGAAGGTTCATGTTTAATGACTTTAAGGTCATCTTCTAACAAAAGGGAATTAGTGGTTTTGGTAACACCCACATATAGATTTATTGCTTCATGTTATGTTATACCCAGCTGAATCAGTGGGAAAGAGAGCTTTTAGGGGAAGCTGCTGATGAAATATTTAAGATGTTTTTATTACATTTTTTCTGGGAGGTAATAGAGATAACATTAAAACCTCCTTGAGCTTAACCCATTCTCTAAACCAGCTACCCCCATAGGAGATAGGAGATGGGGAAAAAGGAAGTTGCACTTCACACCAGCAAAATACATGGGCCAACTGCGCCAGTTGATGTCACTGGCTTGAGACTGGGATCAAACTTTTCATAGGGAAGGGCAGGAAATACGCCAGGCCACAGATGAAAAGGAAAACGGTCCACAGATTGAATGGAAAACCTCTTTCCTTTCTCCTTTCCAGCAAAGGGAAAAGGCTAAACTATGGAGTCCTTAGCCAGGCCCTAAAAATATCTGGGGGTTTTTCCTATGTATTTTTGTTAGATTAGTGGAATTTTATTCTTTCTTTTCCTTTTTCATTTTCTTTCTTTTCTTTTTTTTCCTGTGTGCGCCTCAAGGCATTTACTTGCCATCCATCATTAGCTTTGTCTTAAGAGCTGCCGTCTGTGAGCTCTGCGTCAGCAGTGTTCAGACAAAAGTGGAGAAAGGTTTGCCTGGCGTTGCTTTGACATGTCCAAAGTGAGCTACTCCATCACTCTGGAGAGGGAAGGGGCAGGGGCAGAGCAGAGAATGGGAAGGCAAAGCAGAAAGTTCTTCCTAATGTTGTACTGCTTGGAAGAAATATGCTGTGAAAGAATCTGGTTTTCGGCTTTCCAGCCTGGGATTGAGGAGAAAGGCTTTTTTGTGTGCAAGAGAGTGTAATTATTGCTTTAGTAAAAAAAAAAAAAAGTGTTCTTTTCAGAGAATTCAAATTGCTTTAATTAGCAGAAAAATACATACAGCAGGACTTGGGCTATTTAAAAGGCACCGTGACAAGTCAGTCTCTTATGCTAGCCCTATTTTTAGTTTTATTCTGATCTCTTTTCTCTTAACCTTGTAGTTTTCCTGAAAAAAAAAAAAAAAAAAAAAAGGCAGGGGAGAAGGGATGAACTGGGAGCAGCTTTGAATTTCAGGTTACCATTTATGAAATGTCCCTTTTTGGATCAATTTCACTGAGGTGCCTTCACCATCCAGGAAGTGCCCTCCAACCCTCTTGAGGCAAAAGGCACTGAGCTGGCTGAGGACCCTGGAAAAATGGGTCCTCCAGGACTGAAATGGAACAGCAAAGGCCAACTGATCTGTGTGCCAGTCTGTCTGGGCAGCAGAGCATCCCTAAAACAAAGTCCCTTCCAAAGAGTCCTTCCTACATCAGCATTTCCCTAGCTGTGCCTCCCCTGGCTGGTGTGTGCGGGGTGAACAGTCTGCCTGAGACAGATGCTGTTCCCAGCTGGGAACACAAAGAAGTGAACTGTGGTCACTGGAAACAGAGGCTTTCATGAGTTAGCAAGACCTTTTTGTATGCTGAGCTGCTGTCACAACCACCCTGGTTTTCACTGTTACCCTTACCCTTCCCCTGCATATGTATATCTATATCTATATATATATATAATATTATGTAATATATTTTATAGCTGAAGATTTCAGGAACCTGTAGGAACAGAATTTCACCTTGAGAAACACCAAGAGATTAAAAATCCGGTTGTTTGTAATCAATAAAGATAGATGGGTTGTTAAAAAAATGAAAATAAAACCAAACACAAATAATCCATGCAAATTAAACTGTATTCACCTTTCTTGTCAAAACTGCTCCCAAGGCCCTTAAATCATTGACATTTTAAAACCAAACTTAAAATTCATTCTCAAAATTGTCACGCAAGTCATCTGCATTTTACAGTTTATTTATTTATTTATTTATTTATTTATACTCCCTGAGAGATTGGCATCACCGTACATCTACCTAGCAATTTACATGTATTTTATTTGAGTGGAGTTTGATGTCTGTTATGATGAAAATGTCAATGTTCTAATGATTAAATTGATTTTTTTTTCTCCCCTTTTCCAGAAACAGCATAGCTGCCTCAGCAGTGTGTGCCTTCAATCTGAGTGCCATTACTCAGGCGTTTAATGGCCCTTTCCGTTACCAGGAAAACCCAAGATCGGCCTGGCTGCCAACGTTAAACCCCATCCCTAATTTCCAGGTACTGCTGTTGCCCTTCAGTTTACTGCAGTCCCTTTTATGTTCTGTCACTCCATTGGGTTGATTTGTGTAGGGCTCATTTTTCCAGGTGGACCTACAGTGCAGATAAATTGTATTTCTCCATATTTATGAGTGTTTTAGTCTGCGGAACTCCTTGCCACACGTTACTTGAGACCACAGGATTCATGGCAAAAATTTAATGGTTTAACCGATAAGAATGTTCTGATTTTTTACAGTAATGAATAATTTAAATCACTGTTACACTTGTCACTGACACGTGTACTCTGAGAATGTGATTCTCACAAGGGGACACAGAGACATGTCCCCACCAGAGCTGGGAAGGATTGAAAGCTGAAGCTGGACAAAGTCAAACTAGAATGGAGACAACCTATATTTTTTAAACAAGAAATGTAATTAACCACTGTGACTCTGGAAGGATGTGATGAATTTTCCATCACTTGACAGGGCCCCTAAGGCTACCAGTGCTTCAGTGGAAGATGGATGACTTTCTAAGGCATGGTAGCTCAGCCAGAAGTCATGGACGTGTTGCCACAGTAACTGCTGGAGGAGGACACATGAGGATTGTTACAGGGGTTCCTTCTCAGCTTAAAAATACTTGGTTTTATGAATTAGCAACTTTTCAGTATTATCAGTTAAAGCAAATTTGAAAATTATAAAACAACTTCAGTTGCTTTATGCCCAGATCCAGTCAGTGCGGTGCAGAGTATGGTGTGACAGCCCCAGCAAACGTCAGTTTTCTGAAGCATGAGCCCATTTTACAGCTCAGTCCCTTTCCACCTGAGGAACCCTAGGGAGGATGAACTCGTATTCCTGTCCTTGCTTCCCCATGGTAAATCCTTTCATCCTGATTGTATGAATCTGGCTCTCCTTTGCTACGGCAAAGGTGCTGTGGCTGCCTGCAAGTGCCATCTGCCTTCAAGCTGGTGATGTCGGGGACCTTCCAAAAGGAAGTTTGCAGTCACCTGAAATCACAGCAAGAGCAGATGGGAGGCATGTCTCTGCTGCAGGCAGGGACAGGCTTTTCTTCCTGCTGAGGAACCTAATTTCTCCCCCTGAATTCCCTCATGGCACCTGACTGAGGGCTTCTGCCCATACAAGGTGGGACAGGTTTGGACTCTTGATCACCCCCTCAGCTTGGTGCACTCAAAAACCAAGGAACAGAACTTCTCTGAAGGCCGAGCCATGCCAAACATGGCAAGGCTTTTTTGTTGTTTGTGGTGTTTTATGTTTGTTCGGTCTTGTGTGGGGGTTTTTGTTGTTGTTGTTGGTTTGTTTTTTAGTTTAGAGGGCATATTAAGGCTAGCTGAGAATCAAGGACTTTCTGTCCCTCACATAACACAGAAGGACTAGGAAAGGACTTTGGAAAGCATTTCCGTGTAGTGAGAAGTATCAGATAAAATGTGGAGTGTAAAGATTGCAGCAGCAAGATGAAAAAAAAGGGTCAGAGGAAAATACGGAAAGGAAAAGAAGGTATGTGGCAGACAAAAGGAAGATTGCAAGAAGAGATTAAGATGTTTTTAAGTACAGAAGGAACAAGAGGTCAGTGAGGGGCCTTTGGGAGATGACAAGGGTAATTTAGTGACAGAAGAGGCAGATATTGCAAAAAAATTAAATTAGTTTTTTGCCTCAGTGTTCACAAAGGAAGATGAGGGAAGCATGCCAGAATTTTTTTTCTTGCAGAGAGGAAGGATAAATACTGAAGGATACAGAGGATCAGGACAGTGCAGATAATCAGGAAATTAGAACAATACAAAATAAAACCAAACCAGAGGGATGCTGTGTCAGCATAGGATCTGCCAGTAGACCAAAAGGATTATCTGTGACTTGTTGAGAACAGAAAACAAAACCAACAATGACATTCCTGCCACTGGGGCTCCTTTTAGGTGATGCTCTAGAAAGGAAAGTGAGGGGGGAGAAAAGCATCCAAAGCAAGACAGTAGTGAGAACCAGGAGGAGTATAGCAGACAGCAGAAGAGAGAGATCTAAAGGCCCTTTGGAATGTGGGATGAGTCACAAACTAAAAAAAGACTCTTGCAGTAGAAAAAAGCATTAAAACCCACCTGAGGACACATCAAAAATGTACTGATATTTCTTTAGTCTGGCTACTCAGGAAGGTGCTCAAGTTGATTAAAAAGTGACCACATTCATAGGTGGTGAGAATTAGTATAACTCTCTTCTCCTAGTTCACACAGTCTCCAAAATATTGTAGGGTTTTGTACACCAGACATTGAGATCCGTATTTGTTGTGTAAATGTGTGCTAAATTCCTGACAACTCATTTTAGCATGTAGTAAGAGAAGGTCTATGTGGTGCACTTGGGAAAGGCAGCCATACTGTAAAGAGTTGCTTTGATGCACCTCAAGAGTATGCACATGGGAAATTTGTACACTGTAGCAGGAGTGCTTTAAATCAACATCCTAATTCTCAGTATTCTGACTTCCAGGGAAAGCCCAAACACCTAGACCCAAAATGAAGAAAAATAAATTTGTGGGATTTTCTTTTTCTACTGAAATTACTCAGGTGTGAGTTAGTTAGTGAGAAACGAAGTTGTTCATGTACCAAATATGGGAGTTGACAGGATTTCTGGTAGTACCACTGACTCCCATGGTCTTGGGCAAGATGCACGATCCACCAGGCAGGACTTAAGCTGGTGTTTGAAAGACCCGAGATGTGCTCTCTTCTTTCCCCCTATTCTGGTTGGACAAGGAATTGAGTCCTATTTCAGTGCACCCCTTGGTGCTGGAGGATGGGTGGACATGGCTTTTGATGACGATAGAAGAGCTGCATGTGGGGAGAGAGGAGGTAGTGGATAACTTGCCTTGAATCAGATGGAAGTGGGGGGGTCTGTTCAGAAGGGAGCACATCAAAGAAAAGCAGTGCGGCAGGTTTGGTTCTTTGATGCAAAACCAATACATTTTCAGGTTTTTTAAACTCCATCTTTTGTTCATTGTACAGACTGAGGTAGAGTCTGAAGATTGTTTGAAATGCCTCAAGGATTTGCCACCACAAAAACTTTCTCCCCACCGCTACCTTTAAATCTTTCTACAGCTAGTTTTAATTTTTTTTTTTCTCCCTGGTTTGCTAATACCTCTTGCCCTTCTGGTGTCCTGCCTGAGGGCATCACAAGGGAATGAAACTCCACATTGCTGGTCAGTGGACCAGCTGGGAGAAGCATCTTTAAAAAATGGGTTAAAGGCCAAATCTAGGCTAAGGACCTATGATCGGGCTATGGGCCTGATTCTGTGACCCTTACACAGAGCCACCCTCCCAGAAATCTACATGACAGGGGTTTCCATACTGGAGCGGGGAGAAAATGCATTTGCTGAAGTTCAGTCTTCCATATTTAGTGTGGGACGCTGAATGATGACAGCCCTAATGAGAACCTGACGGAGAGAGTCCTGCAGGATGCACAGCGCCTGTTCCTGATGAATGATGTCGTGCAGCCGGTGACTGTGGATCCGTATGTGACTCAGGACAGCATTCGATTCTCCAAGCTGGTGGTTGATATTGTTCAGGGGAAGGATACTCTCTACCACGTGATGTATATTGGAACAGGTAAGAGTATCAGGGCTTGAGACAGTTCCCCCCCACTTGCCTGTAGACGTAGCAGCCCTGGGAGCCCAGTCATGGTGTCCTTACATGGTTGTCATTCAATATGATTTTGGCACAAAACTGCATGGAAGTTAGTTTGCCTGAGTAAATTAAAAGCAGGATGGAGGACTTGAGGCACAGTCTCAAGTGATCAGACCATAAATCTACATTGTGTTTAAAAACAACAATAACATTTCTCTCCATCTTATAAAAACATGTTTCAACTACTCAGGCTAATACATAACAGTGGGGAAGAGCAGAGGTCGCTGGAATGCTCTGTGGTTTCACGCCTCTAAGTTGCTTCTCTGTGTATGACATACTGATCTCTGAGTAAGCAATAATAATGCTTAGCCTCCAGGCTTGCCCAGGGTTTTAATTATGTCTTTCTCTGCGCTTCCACGTACCTACTGGTGTATGACTCCCAGTGTTTTCGGGAAGGGGCATGCACTGAAGTGTAATGCAGATAGGGAAGCTGAGGCAAGTGCTTTTTTTGTGGTAGAATAACAAGCCAGTGGTAGAATTAAGTATATGATTTAGTCTCCTGATTTCAACTGCCATCCTCTAATTATCAGGACACATTGCCTCTTCTGAAAAGCACAGATATCTTGGATAAATGAAAGAGGCTGAAGAAGGACAAAGTGTTATAAATGGTTGTCTTAGCCCATATTCATACTAATGATAGAGGTTAAATTAAATAGTTTGATTAATCAGAGCATATGGCCAGCCTCATGGGTATAATGTTGTTATCTTCTATTGCAGAAGCTTTGACTTTAGAATAAGATGGATTGCCTCCATAAGTGTTAGTTTAATCTCACATCTGAATGCAGAGTCATTGCCTCATTCTCATGTTTAGGAGAATGGACCTTCAGGACTGTGTCATAATTTATCTAACTTTTACCACCACTTATTTCAAAGTGATCATCTTGGATGTGTTCTAGCAACACTCTCACTGTGGAAGCCTCCATAGACATTGATTATGATGAGAAGACTGTACTTAATTGGAAATACAACATGGTTCTGCCATTTTGATATCTTGATATATAAAGTGAGGAGTCCAAGTTACAAAGCCTGAGAGAAAGATGAAACACTTTCTGTTTTATATCATTAGTGTAGAAAGGTCCACTGCCATAACCTTACCTCCTTATTTGAGTTTGCTTTCTGGCCCTGGCTGGTGGTGACTGATGAGTAAGGTGTGATGGAAACGTTTAAATGAGTGAAATGCTTCAGTATAGAAACAGCCCTGCCCAGAGACAGGACTGAACACAGAGCCAGTCCTGAGACAAACCAAGCCTAGAGTTGGGTTTCAGTCTTGTTCCACACATAAGGCCCTTCTAAGTGAAAGACAAATTTCACGTGGCAGCCAACCCCACCACTGAAAATTGCTAAGGTTTGGCACCAATGCAGAAGTTATCAGGACAGAAAGATTCAGCTTCAGGAACAATCAGGGTTGACAGACCTCTTGGGGGTTTTAATGAAAAATGTTGTGGTTGCCCCCTTTCCCCCAGAATTAACCTCCCACAGTTTAGCAAATCTTTAAATTGCTTAGTTAAGAGCACTGTGAACACAAACATGTATGTTTGTGTGTATGCGCTGCTCATCCCTTGTCAAGCTGGCAGGATTGCTTCTGCCAGGAAGAGGATCAATTAGGTCCATGACCCATGCAGTCATTACAGAGGCCTCAGGGATTTCCAGCAGGGCTGCTGCATCTGTTGTCATTTATCATGGCATCAAAGCACACTGATCTGCTCCATAAACCAATAGAAATACAGTCTCAAGGCACCAGAAATGATCCCTGCTATCTTAGGTCACCTTGCTATGTAACTCACAGGGAATGGGACCAGGCTCCTCTGCTTCAATGCTCCAGCTGGGAAATATTGCCAGGTGCTCACTCTCCAGATGGTTCACATCCTTCTGAGTTCCCATTAAAATGCATTCTCAGGTGGTTTCTGCTGAGTATTGTAATGATGTAGCTCCCACTTTCTACCATGGGCAGCAGGTGACCCAGAGCTGGGTTTAAGCAGCTTCGTAAAGATGACATCGGTATTTCACTCTTTAGGCAGGTATGAAATGAAGTTAGTGCCTCTAAGATTTACTTGTGCATTGTTTCTTGTTCTATTAGAGTATGGCACCATCTTGAAGGCCCTTTCTACCACTAACAGGAGCCTAAGGAGTTGTTATTTAGAGGAAATGCAGATCCTCCCTGATGGACAACGGGAAGCAATCAAGAGTCTCCAAATCCTGCACAGCGACAGGTCGCTCTTTGTGGGCTTAAATAATGGAGTGCTAAAAATTCCTCTGGAGAGATGCTCCATGTACAGAACAGAAGGGTAAGTAAATTTACAGCTCTGATAAATCCCACTTCAGGTTATAAAGGGAAGCACCAGGGAAACATATTCCAGTCTGATTCAGTTCAGAAGACTTTTTTTTTCATCACTAAGTGACAAAAGACACTGCTGAAGTGCATCTCCTGACAGATACATTCACGACAGGAGCAACGAGGATAACAAATATTTTTTTGGTAAATATTAATTAGTCCTCATCAGAAATTATTATATGTTTACCAATTGTATGTTTACCAATCAATTGTAAGCTTAAAATATTTATTTCTTTCTTTAAAAAAACCTTGATATTTTAGTGTTGCTTTTATTGCTGGTGGTTCTTGATGGCAGTAGGGCTGAAGGTTTTTGAATTTGGGTTGCAGCCAGCCTTTTGTTGCTTATCTGAGTGATCACCTCTCAAACATATGATGAGGCAGGGCTGGACTGTGTGGCAGCTTGTTATTGCTTTTGGAAATCAATAGCTCATCTCAACTATGTGTGACACCTCTTACACCTGGAGAGATTCTGCACCTTGATTGTACCTTTTAAAGGGAGTAGGAAAAATGCCTCTTTTTAATTGTCAGCCCTGGCTCCAGAGCAGTTTTCCACACAGAAGTGTGTGGTTAAGGTTTTTGCATCCAAATGGCAAACCTCCATTTAAGCAGGTGAAAGAGTCTGATACCAATTGATTGAGACAGATGCACAAATAACCTCACTGAGTGTGTAGTGTGGTCTGCAGCAGGCAACTGCTTGTTTACATCTCTTGGAAATAATTCTCCTTCTCTTCTCCTTGCTTTCCTTGATGAGAGTTTTGTGTGAAACTGATGTCCTCCGTGCTAGACTAGAGGAAGGATTTTGTTAGCAACATCTAAAAGGATTCCCTCTTCCATGGCCTACTGCAAGATGTCCCTGTTCTCTTGCCAAAAAAAACTGATATAGAAAATGTCACCATAATTTTATTTTCAGCAAGTAGAGTTTATCAGCTTGTACTAAATTCATGCATGTCTAAATATAAAAATGACAGCACTCTCTATTTTCACTGAACCTCTTAATTATCCCTTCCAGAAAATATGACTCGGTCATTACTGAAGCTTGACACAGAAGTCTTTAATGTGTAAAGGTTTAGTTGCTTATACAAAGATATGGGCACAAAAGCGTTTAGTAAGAGAAAGAGAACCACAGCTGGAACATGCCTCTGTCCTCAGCCCTTAAAAGCAGAGATGTTAAAAGGTAGAACATGACAGCTGTCCTCTTTGGGCTGTCCTGCAGAGTTTCAGTTTGAGAATATTTATGTGTGTATACATTTATGTGATCCAGTTTCAAGACAAACGAGTCCTTCCTTCTCTTTCTTTTGCTAATCTTGAGTTCAGCTTTCTGGTAATTTATAGCTGGTGTCCCATTTTCAGCCTGCCTGAATGCTTTGTGTGACGCTTCCGTTAAAGCTCAAATGGTGGAGGTTTGCTGAATTGCCTTAAAAAGGAGCAAGCAGGGAAAAAGCAGTGCCTGGAGAGCAGACGCGTGGGGGTGCCTCACAGTAGCAATATATTTAGGACCTGGAGGCTCCAGAGCAGCCCCCTGCTTGTAGAAGCTTATCTCAGCAAAACAAAAACCTTCTCTTGCCTGCTGGTGACCAAAAGCAGCCTCAGTTTTATACATTGCATAGCAATAAGTCCTGGCTGAAATTACTGGGAAGCTTGTGTACCAATGCTGGGTTTTTTTCCAAAACAAAGTTTCTGGGGGCACTTTTCAGTGAAATAAGAAAGTTCTTTAGGGCATGCAGACTCAAAATTTTGCCTCCACTGACTAGTTTCATGATACTTTTAGGCAATATAAACCAGTCATTGGGCAATACCAAAGTACCCAAGAAAGGGTCTCCTGACAGTATGGTGGGGTGAGATGTGGGAGGAACGTGCTGAATTTGGGTGCTGGCCAGCTAGTGTATTTATGTGCACCCTATGGGTGAGTCTTGTGGAGGGACTGTGCATTTGAAAAAAGGAGGAAAAGAAGAAGAAAACACAGGAAAGCCAAGGAAGGTCATTATTTATTTATTTGTTTGAAAGGATGTTTGTGATATTATTATCATATTTAAAGCTAAGGTTTGGTTTTGTTTTTTGGGGGTTTTTTGATAGGAAATTATTCAACTTCAAATTTTTCACTGCAAATGTTGAAACCCTTTCTCCCCTTAGCATCCTGGCTATGTAGGTGATAAGTCAACTTGACCTCCTTTGTACTTCTTTCAATACTGAACAGTATCAAGAAGGATATTTTAATTTCCTCCAGTGCATTCCACCTGGCACTTCTCCTGGGCTGTGATTTATTGCTTATTGTTGTGTCTATGTTTAATACACGCCAATATGCAGCCACCACAGGAAGAAGGGTTTCCACCTCTGCAACACTCCCTGTTTACTTTTTTGTTGTGCAGTGACTTCGTGACTGGCCTCCTTGAAAAGCTCTGGTTTCAGCAGTTTTTATAATGTAATTGTTTTGATGGGAGCTCTGGAAGCTTGGAGGTGATGGAGAGAATTTGTGCCTGCCAGGCAGGAATACCACAACATTGTTTGTTTTAGGCTCTGCCTTATGTTATCAGGAAATTTTTCAGCCTTTTACGCCCTGGGGGCTGATGTGGGTTTTTGATTGCTGATACAGAGCTCTTGCCTTCACTCTGCCTTCTCCCTCCTCCCTGGAACAGGCAGTCATGTATCCAGGGAAAACTGATCCCACCACTGATTCCCTCCAGGGATCCTTGCTGCTGTGCTGCTTTGAAGCCTGGGGGCTTAATACCAAGGCTCAGAATTGGGCCAGAAGAGAAAAAACAGCAAAGGAAAGAGATGGAAAGGGCTAAGGATTTCTGCCATCTCCTTTACTGTTTGTTTATTGACACGGCACCAATTGGATCTCTTAAATGGTGACCAGTAACTCAGCCCCATGTCTTGATGTAGTTCATTGACCCAGTATGTTTCTATGTGTCTGAGCAGTGTTTTGTGTGTACCCACTGACCTGTCTCAATCTGTCTTCTCAGAACAGCCATTCTTAGCAACAGGGCAGCAGGAAGACATCTGTAATGTCAGCTGCCCAGATTTACAGGCAGGACTTGGCTGCAGGGACCTTGCCTTGTGCATATGTTTTCCTGGTGTTTGTCTTTCCTGCTGTCTTCAGTGCTGATGTTCCCCTCTCTTGCTGGAGACTCTTAGAAGGATGTCCAATGCAAGCACAATCTACAAGCCCTTCGAAGTTGCAGCATGTTTAGAAGGTTGCTTTTCTGGGTGGTAGCTTGCCTGTGCTTGATGCTGAATTTTGCATGGCTTTGAAATCTTTGTAACCTCCCAGCAGTTTTCAAATGAGCTTGGATTTTTTACCTCAAGTTGCCCCCGAGCTTTGGGGAGGCATATTTGAAGAACCAATATTGCTGCTTTATCACTGACACCACCATATCTCTAGAATGTGCCTGAACAAAATCCTGAATCTGATTTTCAGAGAGGTGAGGATCCTCAGATCTGTTGCATTATTTTCAAGTGGGGTGTATCTCTACGGGTAGTTTAGAAATTTTTTCAAAGGGTGGAGTGCAGTTATTCATTTTTTAGCAATTGCAATCAGACAGATAGGAAAATGAGGCTGGTTGTTCCAGGGAACACTTCATGATTTCTTTGTGTTGCCCCTTTGCAGCATCAGGACCCTGGGCCTCTGAGCTGACAGAAACCCTGGGGCTGCCCTGGAGTGATCTTGTAGCCGTTGTTTGGTTACACATTCAAATGAGGAAAAGAAAATGTGTTTGGTAATGAGACCAGACAGTCTCTTGAATATCCACCTTTTCTGCTCTCCCTGTCCTGAGCAGTTCATTGTAATGCACATTATCTTGATATTCATTCTTTCTTCTTCCTTCCTCCATATTTTTTCTGCGTAAGATTTGCAGTTAACGTGATGCAAGCTGCAATTTCGAATGTTCAGTGTGGTTCTGTGAGTAGTTTGACTTTCCTGTCTTCTCTCTGTCGTGCTGTGGGCATCTCATCAGGTTGTGAGTGCCACTTCAGGTTACCCTCATGCCAGTGTAGATTCTTCTGGTTCTGAGGCTGTGGGGAGAGCAGGGACCTCTTGCATGTAGCAATGACATGCTCTTATTTGAACTCTTGCCTGCTTTTTTGACCCGATGTCAGGGAGTTTGCTGTTGAGTGATGCTGAGTTTTTGCCCTCAATTCTGCCACACATCCCCTCCAGCCATGGTACTTAATGCAGAGCTGGCAGAAATGACTCAGCTGACAAGTACTCTTATCTGCTGACTTGAGATTTGTGTGAGAAACACAGCTCACCTCTAAATAGCTCTGGGCCAGTGATCAGACAACTAAGGGCATATAGGTGAGCAACTCCTGAAATGGCTCCAGGGAGTTTTTGGAAGAAAAGGGTCAGCAGCTGCGGTTAAAGAAGCAGAGTGTTTTCTGCCCTCTTTGTCTCTCCAAGGTGCAACTGTAGCTTCAAGCACGATCCCTGTATCAGTCCCCAGCCCACAGTATGCCCTAAGGGGGTTAAGATATCAGATATCACACTGGGGGTTGCTTTGGAGGTTAGTGTTGTTTGGTTGAGGTGGTTTTTTGGTTTGGTTGGTTTTGTTGTTGTTGTTGTTTGTTTGTTTTATTTTGTGGAGTGGGGGTTTTTTGAGTTTGTTTGTTTGTTTGTTTTGTTTTTTTGGTCCTTACATGGTGCAAAATCCTCTGTAACAAAGGAAGGAAGCACTTGAATTTAGGATTGTAAAACCTGAATTACAGGATTACCGGATTTCAGAAGTGAAACTACTGGGGAATTTGTTTGGAGAAATAATACGGTTTGGGAAGAGATCTAAAAATTTCCCATTTTGGGGAAGGATTGAATTGAATATGGGCTGGAAATCCCCTGACTTCTTATCAGAATGATGATAATTCCTTGAAGGACAAACAAGGAACTATTGTTGGATGAAAAGCACAGGAGATAAAAATGTTAAAAGAGGTAGGGGAGTGAACAACAGAGACACTGTTGTGCAG